CGACTTTGCCACCGATTGGTGAAGAAGTGCATCACGTGTGGAAGCTGGCCTCGCGACCTGAACTCACACATGCAGGTGGCCCATCGCTCCTTGTGGGAAGACAGCAGCTCTCTGGCAGAACAAGGCGCAGTGAACTTCCTTTCCAAAGCTCACCCCACAAGATGGTGCGCTTGCCAACCGTTCCACAGCATTGGCATGAATGAAGACCATTGCTGTCCATGCCTGCGGCAGTTCGCAATGCTGCACCTGGCATTGAGATCCCATCAACGGGCAGAAGCAAAGGCTTCGACGTTGGCCCGGCTCCTCGACAAGAATTTTAGTTGAGGAAGGCCCTCCGGGGCGCAGGTGGGACCAAAAGGGTCCACGCATTCATCGACCGATGAGCGTATGAAAGAAAAAGATGATGATGATGATGATGATGATGATGATGATGATGATGATGATGATGAATTCCTCAGATGTCTTCAGCACATCCACCAGCCTTTCTTCCGGATGTTGCTTCCCTTTTTCTCCCCCCCACCGGCGGCTCCAGACGGACGCTCCAAGTCTCCGAGCCGCCACGCAGCCCACGGCATGCCCGCTGATGATGATCTGCCCGTGGGCCGCTGTCCGTGTTCTGCTTGGGTGAGGGGACAGGCGTCAGAACAGGTTCGGAAGAGAACAGAAGAACTCACCCGATTTGTGCTCGAACATGGGTTTCGCCATGGCCCACAATGTCGAAGACTGGTTGTGCCATGGCCCACCATCTGAATCTTTCTCTCGCCCGAGGTCTGGCTGTGTTTTATCAGCCATTTTTGAGAGGCAAAGAACATGTTGTTGGCTCATGAAAACCAGATATGACCCTCAGGCTTCTCTACCCTGCCTCCTTCTTGGTGCTGCAAGTGTGAGTTTTTGGGGGGGACACATGGTTTCGAGGAACTTAGGAGGAAGCACCAGATGTGCCCTGAGCGAGGCAGATTCGTGTGGATCATGGAGACCTGGAGACCTGTTGGTTGGGGGAAGCGTGTTCGAAAGCTTCAACAACAAGAAGCTGTTCTTCCCATAACTTTCATCCTTCAGCCAAGCACCACCCAGTGACCTGGTGCTTGATAGACCTGCCAAACCATGGGGTGTTTGTTCCATCCAAGAGCCACCCAGCCCTGCATCATTCATGGAAGTGCAGAACATGCCAACTGACATGAGGGGTTCCATCGGTGTTCCAATCACACAGCGGCTAATACAGTAGGCACCCAATCACCAGACGAACCGTGCGACTCGTAGGGAACGAGGAGATGAACCACCCCTGTAGATACCTCAGGATCCAGCCACCCTTACTCCTTCCATCTCCTTCCATCTCCTTCCATCCAGCACCCCGTCAGTCACGTTGGGGATTCCTTGGTCTTCCTTGGTCTCAGCCGGTCTCAGCGTCCCGACCGCTTTCTCTCCCAGGTTCCCCTCCACGTCTTTCACATCGATGTGAGTTCCCGTGGCTCCTGGGCGCGTGAGTGGCGCCGAAGCGCGTGGGTAGGAGCCGACAGCTGCGGTCTTCGAATGAGGTGAACTGAGAAGAAAACATGGAAAAGATGTGCTGAATTTACTGCACCTGAACAGCAAACAAATGATAGATGGCGTAACTCCATCTATGTCTTGGATTGGTTGGGAGCTAGGTGTCTTTACGAAACCAAAAGCATGCGCGGTGCGTTGCAGCATCCATATGTTAGGGAATCCAAATGTGCATTTTTTTTTGTTCAATCACGTTCGCACAAAAAATCCGTGCATCCGGCCTTTTTGGTCAATTGGACAAATTTTATGGAATTCCTCCGAATATTGGGTTTGATTGGGTTTTATCCATATACTTGTTTGGGTTTTTGTCGATAACATGTTGATAAAGTTTGGGTTTCACATGGGTACGCTTTTGTACGGTATTGTTTTTCTGTCCATACGGCTAAATACGCTAATTCGTTAATTAAAATGTCCATATGATAAATTCTGCCCCAATACGGCCTTCGCACAAAAAAACGTGTTCATACGCCTTTCCAGGTGCCCACGTGGACAGACTCCTTTCAACGAGACTCTGCCTGACCCTGACTCTGCGTCATGCCTGCAAAAATGAGTCAAAGCACGTATAGACCGTATAGTGGATTTATATAAATGGCACAACCCCCAAAGAGGTGGTTTATAACTTATAACTATATGGACCCCCATCTGTTCAGGACATCATGGGGCCTGCGCCATTTCTCACCTCTGAAACCACTGTATGTCCATCCTGTTCGTCTTGCACAGCGGCCTGAGATCTCAATCAGCCCAGTGCCGCCCAGCAGACTGCCGACCTCAAGAGGTACGCCAAGCTCAGCTGGCCATGTCAGCGTGAGGCTGCCAAACCAACATCGCGACAGTTCAGCACAGACCCAAAATGACCACTGCGTGGTAAGACATGTCAAAAAGAAAAACATGTACTAACTTTCTGGTCATTCACTGCAAAGACTTTCTTTCACCTCACCTGCCATGGTCAACGTGTCCAAAAAGATTGGAGAACTTGAGGCCAGAGGGGGTGAACGAAAGCTAGCCGGGCTTCCGGTGGTCTGCTGCTGGTGCTGCTGCTGCTGGTGCTGCTGCTGCCGCTGCTGCGCTGGGCGCTGCTGCGCTGGGTGCTCTGCAGGCGCCGGGTCGTCTGCTGCTGCTGCTGCTGCTGGCGCTGGGTGGTCTGCTGCGGCTGCTGCTGCCGCGGCGTTGGGTATGCTGCTGCTGCTGCTGCTGCCGCCGCTGGGTGGTCTGCTGCTGCTGCTGGTGCTGCTGCTGCTGCTGCCGCTGCTGCGCTGGGCGCTGCAGATGCTTGGTGTGCTGCAGCTGCTTGGTGGTCCCGCTCACCGCGCGCAGGGGGGAGTCGAACCGCGGGGGGGGGGGGGGTCCATAAGATTGATTTAATCAATTATTTGAGGTTTCTGAGGTGCGTCCACCCCGTCACTTAACTTGCTAAAGCAAGAGCAACTCCAGCTAGCTAAGGCTAGCTTTCGTGACATGGCTCCTTTTAAGGGCAAACGCGAAATCCGAGACCTTCATAGTACGTCGAAGGGGGGTCATCAATGGATGCACCCATGCACAACATAGTATGGTCAATGTCCATAGACCCACAGGGGGCCCTATTGCACAAAGGTTGGGGGTCATTCCCGTCTCATCAATCAACCAAGCAAGGCCGAAAAAGCTGGCAATCTATTATATAATGTAGAATCTTGCTGAATCAAAACCCCCAGACGTGGATGGTAAAACCTGCTCATATCGTTCGTATGGGGGGGTTAGTTATATTGGAATAGAATGACATATAGAGCCTACGGCAGCCTACATGAATCTATGAATCTATGACGGTCGGTCGGTTGGCGCCGAAAGCGGACATCTCAGTTCGACCGGCTTGGACACCGGCCAGTGTGGTGGGGCAAGGGCATTGCACCACTTGAGAATGATCCTCGGGGACGTGTCCCGTGTCCGAAGACATGACATCAACGATCCTGGAAGAAGGACGGGTCTGACAGCCTGGATGGTCCACTGAACATGGAACTGGATGGTCGCGAAGACGAACTCATATTGATCGTTGCTGATCTTGTTCAAGGTGGAGCCTGAGTGTATGAAACTTGAGTTGGGTATAGAATCAATATGATTAATATATACCTCCAACATCATCCAACCCAGCAACCCATTTTTCGGCACTTTACTATCCAACACACCAACCAGAACGCATGGCAGCCATGCCGGACCGGCCTACTTCAGATGCCGGCCTGAGGATCTGCTAAGTGGCTTGGCAGGGCCTGCAGACCACCTGACAGGCTGAATCCCCGCACCCGCGGGCAAACGGATCCCACACGACCCGAGCCAAACCCTTCCTGCTCATTGGGGCAGGGGCCAGGCTTCTTTTTGGAGCAGATGGCTTCATCATGGTTCATCGATCTGTAGTGGACATGTTCATCAATTGGCCGGGCGAACGAATCCGGACTCCGCTTCGGGCACCGCCACGGTAGGCATCCAAGACCGACGCATCAGAAAACGCCACCGGGTCCGGCGACCCCGGGCGACCGGCTTCGACTCGGGAAGGTGGGGCCTTGGAGCTGCTCTAAGCCCGCCTGGGACGCGAGGCGACGGTCCGGCGAGAGAAGAAGATGCGACGAGGCGACGGTCCGACGGTCCGACCAACAGCGTGGCCGGTTGGGTCCGCACGGGGTCCCCCAGAAAAAAAGAAGCGGTAGAAGGAAAAAATGTCTTAAAATGTGTCTTTCTTAAGTTGGGGGTCACTAAAAGGCAATGGGTAGAGTAGTAACTGGATGTAACTGGTCCTGGTATGTAGTAGGCTGAGAATGGCTGAATTGGGTTTTTGTTTGATTCGCTGACTTGAACGACCATCCAATGCCGCATCTCTTTGCAAAACTGTGCCCCCTCCCCACCTAATCTCCACCCGCTGGCAAATATTGAAAGTAAAATGCTAGCAGAGGGGTTGAGTATGGACCGGCTCAGCAGCTAAGAGCTTTTCCCCTGAAGGACTCCCCCACCTCACCAAAACATAGCCCCTCGTTTCTAAGGAATAGCCTTGGCGGTCTGGAGCACAAAAGGGCTCCGGCTGGGTCTGGGGGAAAATTGGCGGGTTCTTGTGACTCCGGGCTGGTGGGCTGAAGCTTGCCACCAGCCAGCACAACACTCCCGGCGTGCATACCAATTCGGGACATGGCCGGCACTGTACAAGGTTCAAGGTCTTAAATGCCTAAGGAAGTGGCCCTCAAACAAATAGCAAAGCAAAGCACTTGCACAGCTGCTATGGAGTAACTTGCGCAACACGCCAACTTTCCAAACAAAAACCATCAAAATCGCGAACCTATCTGTAATAGGACCACTCTATAAGAAGTAAAATCGCAGGATTGTTGGATCGCTGGTGGGCCCTCAATTCTCGTGCAGCTCGAGTCCTTCTCGAGTCTGTCTGGTTCATCGTCGGCGTGCCATTCTCATCACAGAAGACGAGCTTTCTTGGCCCCTTAAACACTTCAATAGTCATCTTCATCATCATAATAGTCCGATTGTTCATCCTCAAAGCCATCCTCAAAGTCCTCCTCCCAGGAGTCATCGGCGTCCTCCTCAGACTGCATCTCTTCCAAGTCCCGACTCTGCGCGGAGGTCTCGTGGGCTGAACCGGGACAGGCCATCGCCGGCACGGGAGTCCCCCAGCCCACACCACCCAAGCCACCCAAACCACCCAGACCGCCCCAGCCACCCCCGAGATTCTCTGCACAGCTGGCACCCAACATGCCCAAGCCATTGGCCATCCCCATGCCATGGGTCGTGCCCAAGCCGCTAGTGGAGCCCAAACCACTGGTGCCCAAGTCTCTGTTGAGACCTTCTTGCGAAGCTGAGGCCTTGCCATTCACCGTGGTGAACGAGAAGGGTTGCTTCAAGTCGAGCACCACTGAGGAGGCCAGTTGAGGGACTTGGCTAAAGCCCGCATCCGCCAATCGTGCGCGCAAATGCTCCAACAAGTCCAGGATGCTCACCTGCGCTGAGGCCGAGGCCAAAACTGAAAAAATTGAAAAAGGAAAACAACTTGCAATAAAACGGGGTCCTTGAAGGTCCTTGGGTGAATCGCCATTTTGTGGGCCCACTGGAGGATGATGCGAAGGACTAGGTCGACATCTCAAAAGCCGGGATCATCTTTGATCGACTGTTACACGTGTTACAGGTATATAATGAATGGGACACACCCAAGGTGGTCCTCTGGTCCCCAAAACAAGCCTTTGAGTCCTTGGATTGCTAAGCCCGAGCTGCCGGAGCGGCCACTGCTTTTCAAAGAAGGCTCTCCACAACCATCAGCACCCAGCTTTCCACCCCCTTCTACTCTCCAAAGCCTCTTCACTCTTGGATCCCATCCGCTTCCATTCCTCTTTTTTGTCCCATTACTGCCTGGATGCTAGACTTGAGGCGGTCCGAGAAAAAAAGACCTACTCAAACCACTGCTAGACTGCTAGACCCATGACTGCTTGACCCTCTTGTCCTATTACTGCCTGGTGCTGATCCGCCAGATCAATCTGCTCCATCGCTTCGATCAGCGCCGAGGTCAAGGCGCCGCCCGCGTCACCGACGTCGCGCGCGCGGCCCAGGCGTCCGCTGGTCGAAGTGCCATGGAGGTCGAACCTGGAAGAGTCATGAGGGTCGAGGCACCAGCAGGTCGACAGATCCGCCATTTTCCACTCACCTTTTTGGGGAATAGACGACCAACCGCGTTGGAACTCCTGGTCCTTTGCAATCATCACACATCAACGAGTATGAATTCCTTCCTTAGGACCTTTCCTGGTGATTTTGACGGATCTCCGAAAGGGTGGGACCAATGCCTTGAAGCTTTCGAGAGTCTTTTCCGTGACCAGACTGCACACTAAGGTGAGAAGCCGGAAGCCCAGGCTCTGGAAGGAATCCACTTTATAATAGAAAAAGGGTGACTGCCTATCCCTTTCTCAGGTGCCTCCTCTACAATCAACGTGCAGCTTGGAGAACCCGAACCCCCCCCAAGGGAACACCATCAAGCTCCATACAATACACTCATGTGTGGCTGTCCAGACTCCTTCTTCAATCTAATGCCATCACATAGATTTCCCGGGGGGGCATCGCTTCCCTCAGTTTTGGACAACCTTTAGACTCTAGTCACCTAGTCTTCAGCTTGGAAGGGAGGCATCATGAGGCATCGCTTACTGGTAATGGTATATAGTTAGTAATGACAGATTTCAACCAAACAAGTGTATGTGATGTGTGAATATGTGAGCATGAGCACTCGAAAGAGACACGCACACAAACTTCACTCGCGTCGAAGGCAACAGCAAAGCTCAGCTGACGTTAGAAAACAAAAGATTGGAAGGGCATTAACATGCATTAAACCAAGCTGTTACTGCAACATGTTTGTTGCTTAACTCTATGTTCAAGGTTCAAGTGGGCAAGGGTGGCAGACCGGCATGATCAAGGGCACCACTTCGGGTATCGCTTATAGCGATGCCTAGGGCCTAGTGGTGTCTCTGTCGCTTCGGGCATCCCCGAGCTTGGGCCCTACAGGAGATGACTGTTGCAAAGTCTTGACATCTATGTCATGAGAACGCGTGGATTTCTCAGGTCAAGAAGCAAAACATTGAAACACACATGTGAAACAACTACACTTGGACAAGGTTCATGCATCATGTTCTGGTTCAAGGGAACCCGTGATAGAATAGCATCTCAAGCTTGTTGTCAAGCAAAACCCACTTTATGAGGATGAAGTCGTGTCAACTCGACCATTGATGATCAATAAAGGTCTCACCCCAAAGATGCTTGCCAAAAGGTCCCTGAACCTCCGGCAGTGGCCCCATCTCGCCCAGCTCAGCTCCAGCTCCACCAGCTCCATAGCTGCCAGGTGGCTGCGAGTGCACGTCGTTCACATCGGCGCTGGTCTGGTCCGACGCGCACCCCGTGATGGCCACCACCTCCGCCGAGGCCAGGCCCACGTTGAAAGGCTCGTCGGAACAGAAGCCATCCTGGTCGAAGCCGGCGACCGGGGGCATCAGGGAGTGGTGGAGTCCGTCGCTGGGAGGTGGGAAGACGAAGACGGCAGGGTGTTGTTTGTACGCCCTCCCAAGGTCTGAAGAGCAGCGATTTCAATTGGTGGTCGAATTTTTGGATGCTGGGCAACCAAAAACTCCGGTGGGTTGTGCCGTGTCGCGGTGTAACAACCAGTTTGTGGGAGAATGCTTGAGTTGCGATGGATGAACTGATGAACTGCCAAGACGTAGGCGGCACCCTCAAGCACCCCAGGTGTGAAACATCCCCATCACCGGCCCTCGTCCTGTTCCTCCACTGCCGGAGGGACTCGGGCTGAAACGACTAGCTCCAAATTGCCCACGCCACCGTCTTGACCCTTTAACTCACGCCTTATGTTCATCAATCTTCATCACCTTCGTGCCCGTCCCAAAATCATCCTTGCTCCATCCCATCCGTTCTCAACGAATTCAAAAAAAACCGTCTCAATGGCGTTGTTTGGGCCGTCGTCCTGATGGCCGTGGGTCTTCGCCCGGTACTGGCGCCACAAATCCCAGAGTCCAAAGCCTACGGAGGCCACATCACCCAGCAAGGCCATGGGGTCGTCCTGGAGAAGAAGAAACACACCACGCGACACGTGAAGCCCAAGAGTTCACTCTAGTGGTGGGTGAGGAAAATTCTGGAAGTGGGAAAAATAGAGGGTGGACATTCTCATATGGGTGTGCAAACTGAAAGGAAAAACACCAAACAGCCCCTCTGGATGATGCTTCGGACTAGGCCGACGAGCGTCTGCTACAGGCCGGTCATCCTGCTACAGGTCATGGGTTTCCCACACACGTTTGGCGTAACGTCTCACAACACATGTCTCAGTTTGTGAGGAGAAGGCGCGTCGTCGTTTCTGAAACATGACAAGAACTGTTTCAAGCGTCTTTCAGAAATGAAGAGATATAGAATTATATAGATAGATAACCGCTCACCCGACTCGCTCTCCGCGGTGTTGGTGTTGCCACCGCCCACCGGGCGCGAAGCAACCTCCGCAGCGCTTCAGAACGGGTTCCCGCCCCACCGAAGTCACCGAAGATCCCAAAAGGCACCCTCCATCCACACCGACACCGCTGGAAAACCCAGGCTGTCCACGCACCAAGCCGCACCGGCTCGCCGGCGACGTCGGAGTCGCTCCTCCACTTTCCAACGCTCGAAGTCACGGAGCCAGTTCTTGGACAAGGCCATCTGAATGGCTTCCCCGGCCATGGCCTTTTGAATGTTCTGCAGGGTTCCTGCGGAGACCAAGAAACGGAAAACATTATAGACATCCAGTGAGCAGGGTCAGGCCACGGGAAGGGGGGACCCAGAGCAGCAAAGTCTATATAGTCTTATATAGTCTATAGGGTGTTTTCCTTAGTCCTCCATTTCAGATTGATCCAAGTCACCAACTGAAGATATTATATACAATGAAGTAGCAGGTGCAGGGTAGGGTATTCATCTTCCAAAAGGTACAAGAACCCCTCAAAAAAGAAAAAACCATAATTGCTTTATATATAAGTCTTGGCAAATGGCCAAAGCATCTGCCCCATGTCTGCCCCATGGGGCACTTTTTTCCCGAAAGAGAGAAAAAGGAATCGAACAACCGGAGGTGGTGTGGAGGTGGGGACCCAAATGGTTCTTCCATGTTCTTCCCCATGTTGGTCAATTGAAACAACGTGGTGTGAGTTTCAACACACTTCAAGACTTCAAGTACAGTAAGTGAAGCCACACGGCAAAAGAAAAAGAAAAAACGAAACCGGCTGCACCTGTGAAGATAAAGGGCAGGTCTAATGCCCCAGCACTGTGGCAAGCGTCCAAGATACAGGTCAAACGGCAACCTGTCACGGACGACGGAGTCGACGGAGTCGGTCGACGGAGTCGGTCCGGAGTCGGTCCGGAGTCGGTCCGGAGAGGGGAGTCGGCATGGGTTGCAAAGCGTTCCTTTTCCGAGGTTTCTGCTGCCAAACAGGCCTTTTTCTCGCCAACACCACAAGACGTGTCACAGGCCATGGGAAAGGGAATGTATGCTTCTTCTCTTCAATGAGCCAAGGAAAGGACTTGAGAAAAGAGGGGGTGGACGAAAGGTTGAGCTTAGGATTCCTCAGCATGGTTCATTGGACTCAGAGCTGGCTGTTACTCACACCCCACACACAGGGCAGTCGGGGCGAAGTGCCCTCGGTGATGGAGAGCAATAGAAGGGAAATCCACCCGGCAGCAGCAGCAGCAGCAGCAAAAAAACGAGGAGGGAGGAGAAGCTCGATAGAAATGCAATCACACCAAGCCACGGTACAATTGAAGGGAAATTCACCCGTGGCCAGGGGGAGCTGATCAGGTCATTGAGACAAATCCAGGCACTAAGCGAACTCAAGGTTGCCGAGGCAACCTTTCCGTGACAAAGTGGATCAAAATGGAAGGAATTGTGATTTTAATAGGTGAATTTAAGAATATGCATTGTTTAAGTTTTAGATTGTTTACAGCAAGTGTTCTCCTTGAAGGCTCAAGTCACCCAACCTGTCTTTCACCCAATCTGATCTCTACTTTCAGGCCACCTTTGGGCAATGGCTTCACCAAGATCTCAAAAAGCTCGCTGTCGTGCAGCATCCCGGCCTCAGGACATCTCCAACAGCTGAGCATGCTGTTGTTGTACAGAAACCTTGGATTTGCTTAAGGAGCCTGCAAAGTTTAAAAAAAATAACAGAAGGGGATTTAATCATAGGAAAAAATAAATAATCAATCAACTTAAACAAAACTAGGAAACTCAGTGGCTGAATCCCCTCCACCATCCTCCACCTGTTCTCTGGTGCCTCTAGTCATGAAAAGGGGGTCCCCCATTCTTGAAAATTAGGCTGTCAGCTGTCACCACTCTAACTCCACATGTTTTAGAACGTCAAGACCCGTGCGCTGGCACGTCCACATGTTCTAAATGATCTTTTTTCTTCTTGTGTCACTCTGTTGAACACCAGTGGTGGCTGCTACTGGCACCTGCTGCTACTCCAGACCGCCCGGCCTCATGTCCACGGGGCGCCCCGCCTCGTCCATGTCCACAGGGCACAAGGTCTCATGCCACTCGCCACGGCCATCGCTGCGCGGCACGCGGCCGCCGTGACCGGAGTAGTGCAGCAGAAAGGCGTCGCCGGGCTGAGCATCGTGGACAAGCCAGGCAATAGCAGCGCGGAGGTTGGCAAGGGTCGGACGCTGGCCTGGCGGGAAAATGTGGGCAGTGCTCAAGTAGCATCCTTAGTATTAAGAATATTAAGATGTATTAAGCATCAGTGTTGTATAAGATCGTATAAGTATAATTCGGTCTGTTCACATTGCTCTTGAACCAAAAAGTGTTCATCAATGTTCATCTTACGTATACAGACAGTGGTATCGATGTGGACTTCCTGTCATGAAATTCAGCTCTGTTATCTTGAGGCACACCGCTGGACCTGCCTTAGCAAGTATACGACGTTAAGATACGTTAAGCGCTGACCTGCCTTGGCGAGTATATCAGTATATCAAAAGATATTGCCCGTGCACCTTTTTTTCAGGAATTCGATGCGCGACTGATTCAAAAGTACGAATAAGCCTAAGCATTACAAATTAACTGACGCTCTCACTGGAACTAACATGGAAGTGGAAAATTGTCCCTTGGAAGACCGTTTTCCTCTACAAACAGGGGCCATGTTAGTTCCTGCCAGGGTAAATGTTCATCAGCTTGCCGATGCCAGCTCAGGAATGTGGCATGAGGTCAGCTGCGCATCCCCAACCTTCCATTCCTAACAATGAGGTGCCACGCCTGCGGCATGGTCTTTCTCCGGGCCATCCAATGGGTTTGCCCTGTAAGTGATTCCAAAGACTGGGAATTGGGGTACGGCGAAAGGAATGCCGCCCAGCCACTAGTTACCCATGATTGCGGGGGAGCCTCCACCCCCCAAGTATACGGGTCCAAAGATCAGTTCGCGTTGGACCTCGGCCGACTCCCCATGGGCTCTTCGACTCACTCACGCCAGTCTGGCCTTGCCAGTCTGGCGCATCCAACAGGATCCGCTGGCAGTCGGTCTCCCCAAAGCCCCAGTGCTTCACCAAGGGGAGCATCCGATGCACATCGTCCACGCAGCCGTGCAACTCGTGGGGGGAGCCAAAGTAGTTGATGCCAATCCTAGGCGGCCCACCATTGGATTTGTTGAATCGTGTTGACTGAACAACCCTTGATGACTGTGGATGTCACATGGCAAAACGAGGTCAATCTTTCTTTTAATGATCTTGGAAGGCTCAGGCTACGGCCTATAGGGTTTATATAACCCTCTGCGACGTCCAGCACGCGCCCAGAGACGGGGATGGGCCAGCTTTAAACAAAAGTACGATAAAAGAAAAGAACAAGTGATCCGTCTACACTTGTGGAGCTCCGGAATGGGAACCCCACGACTTCTGAAGGAGTCGAACAGTCACGACAAGCACGACATCCCAGGAAGAACATGAAGGAACCACATGGAACCGAAAAACTAAACTGAACAGACTTGAGGCCAAGGGGGGGGCGAAAGCTAGCGCTCCAGAATGGGAAAGTGGAGGGCAGCGAGGAGCAGCACCAATTCCCTGTTCCCGTGTAATGTGGCTTTAGATACCAGGTGAACGATTTACAAATACATCTCGAAGCCAAATAGGCTTTGGTAGCAGCGGGTCTGCACGGAGTAGCAGAAGGCAGGACGCCTTGCACAAGTTGGGCGGGGCAAACGATTCCAGGTGAAGAGTCCTTTATATGCGGCTCTTTGCCCGGATCCTCCTGCGAGAGAAGAGAGAGAAGAGAGAAGAGAGACGGAAAGACGAGAGACAGAGAGGAGAGAGAGAGAGAGAGGAGAGAGAGATGAGAGAGAGATGAGAAAGAGATGAGGGAGAGATGAGAGAGATGAGAGAGAGATGAGAGAGAGATGAGAGAGATGAGAGAGAGAGAGAGAGACAGTGAGAGTGAGAGTGAGAGTGAGAGTGAGAGTGAGAGTGAGAAGGGGGGGGGGGGCTTCGACCTGAAAGATCAGGGGTTAGGATTTGCACCCGATCGAAAGAAACCTTGCTATCGCAAGAGTAACTCCAGCTAGCTTCGCTAGATTTCGTGACTACCATCGCGGCTCTCAAACCCATGACGGTTTTCACACACAAAAAAGGAACCTTTTGGGTGCCAGGGAAAACCAGCCCCTGGCAGCAAGCGCTTGAGGAACTCCTATTCTCGATCGTTCCCGTTCGCCCGCATCGAGGAACGGGCCACGGGCGGGTGCGCCGTCTCACCCGGCGCCCGAGGGCGACGCCATGCTAGACCAGGACACGTGACTTCACAGGTCACCTGACGAAGTCAGGCATTTCAGCCATGAGACCTGTAGAGTCGGATGCTGGTAACGAGGTGCTTGGTCTAAAAGCGCCAAGGCTCAATAAACTCTTGCGGCGGCCGTTCAACTCTACTGGTCCCTGGTTCGCCTCGTACACCTGGCTGCTTGCCTCGTGCACCTGACCGGTGGTGCCATGGACGGAAGGTCGTTGGAGCGGTGGTGCCAAGGACTTTGAGGGACTGTGGGATCTCGTGGGTGCTTTTACTTTGCATTGCTGCAGTAGGTTTCTTGGCTGGTTGGGTTCGTTGTGGTTAGTTGGTGAATTGCCTTGGTTTGCCCTGGCTTGATGTGGAGTTTGTCTTGGGTTGGTGAAAGTTGGCTTGTGGGTTAGGTTTGTAAGATTGTTTGCTGGTAATTTGCTGCCTTGAAGTTGCTTTGATATTGCACCGCTTTTGGTGGGCAAGCCTCTCTTGTCTTGGAGTTCAAAACTACTCTACTATATAACTTTATGCATACTGATCGGTAGGGACAACTGCTGCACCGTCCAAAAACCCTCTTCGAGTCCGCGCAAAACTACTTTCGAAACTGTTGATAATTTTGAGGTTCGTGACGGTTCATGACGATTCATGTGTGTCTGTTTATCCTAAAAGTGGTTTGTTTGAACTCGGAACTGGCCAACAACCTTTTCCACACTCTCAAGATGGCACTTTGGGCACCTGCCCTTCGCTTGCCAGCTGCTCCTTCCTGCTCGGGCTGCCTTCAGCGATGGGCGGTGGAAGCACCGTTAGCGGAGCGTTGGCGCCAGGGACGGCTGGAAGGTCTTCCCAGGTGACATCTCGGACGTGGCAAGGAGGGAGCTGGAACTCATAGGTCGAGTCATCACCTCCGGCGCGGCGGACACATGGATTGGGAAGACCTGGATGAATGAAATCATGCCGTCACTTGCTTGGCGCATGGGAGATAAAAGAGGTTTTAATACCGCCCAAACGGCACTGTCTGCCATCACACGTCTTCAACGCCACCGACCTCCCAACACGCTCACGCCTGGTCCATCTTCCAAAACGCTCACGTGGCCCCAAATGCCCGGCGCGTCACCCGGGAACTCATGGCCGTGGACCGTGCCCATGGCGGGAGGCGGGGCGCGCGCCGGCTATAGCGGTCGAAAAGCGGATCTGCAGGGCCGACAAACGGAGGTTCAGGGGATCAGTTGCTCGACGACGGGAAACAGAAGCCTGTGGCCAGTGGCGTTCGGAACAACATGAATACACATGAATGATTGTGCTCGATAGATATCGATTGATATCTTGACAAACCGCATCTCATCAATCAAAAGACATGACCAGGTCATCCAAAAACCACACTGTGGAAGCTACTCCCCGGATTCTGAACCGCACTTTGTACACCCACACCAGTACCCACACCACCCAAGGGGTTGCTTTTGGTCCACCCCTCCCTGTCTCGGTCCCCCTGGCTGCCGCAGTCACCGGCGCCTGGGGCGGATTCGCGTTAGGCGGGAAGGCCGGGAGGAGGTCGCGCGGAGTCGCGCGCGCGGGACTCCGCGCAAGACCGGGGTCCACGACGACGGCCGGGAGTCAAGGGGTCCAACGTCAATGGACGCCCGAAATCACTGGGTTGTAGAGGAAAATCATCGGAAAAGGCCTCCAAATGGTCGGTCCAAATCAGTGACTTCCCCCCCCCCCGGTTCGGGTTGGACCACATGGAACCACCGGTTCACCACGGTTCACCACCGGTCAAGTCTTAGATTCCATGGGATTGTCTGGGCAGGAGGGGTGTTTTGGATGTTAAGGGTTCTAGGATGGTCTAGACATGTCTAGACTCTATGTCTGAAACTTGGAACCAATGGTTGGTCCTATGAGTCATATGAGTCATGTGTCCTTGAGAAAACAGGGGTCGCAAAGCTTGGTTTGCTTGACTCCCGACACATGAGTCACAAGACGTTTTGTGCTGCGCACGTTCTGCGCAACAGCCGGCCAAATATATCTATATATATATATATATGGCCAAATCGGTATATATAGACATACTGTAGCTGGGATGAATGAAACCTGGGAAGCAACCATCCTTGAATATCCTTGAGAGGGGCCATGAACCTTGAGGAGAGATAAATCTTGGGCGAACTTGTGACATAAACCGGTCTCATGTGCAGAAGTGGAAAACTGCGGGTTGGAAAATGGTCATCGAAGTAGACAATCCAAGGGGCCGGGGCCATTGTCCACTTCCATGTCAATAACAGGGAGTGTAGACGAGCAACCCATTGGTCGAGGATCTAGCAAAACCGATCTGGCGGTCATGGGGCGGCCCAGCATTCCCAGCTAACATCAAAATGACCACCAGGAATATCAATCTAACTTGGGTTCTAAAGCACTTCGTATCCTTCCCCGTGGGTCGGAGGCCCGGCCACCATCTGAGACCCGCACCGGTGGATAGCCTGTGGGATGACAACGCTCCGCGTGCCGGGTGGGGGGCATTTGGCATCCAGCTGCGGCCAAAAGGGGCAACAAACTTGCATTGGTTTAGTGTCAATAACATCCTCCACCCGATCCATGTGATGACTCATGACCATGTTTTTTCGTTGGCTGCACTGGGCCTGATTGGGTCGAACCATGGCCTGATTGGTCCAAACCCGGTTTAACTCAGGTTCAAAGCACCAAAATGAACACAAGCTACCAATGACCCAGGCCTCTGGCTTGGCCTGTGCAAGAGCCAGATCTGAGGAGAAAAACGTAAGACTACAAACGAATCCCAGTATCAAACCCTGAGAAGTTGAGTGTGCATTAAATAGGGAGACCTCAATCCAACCCCTTGGAAGAAGGGAAATAGGCCAGTCCACCCAGCCACGGCCAGGGGGTGCCCCTATGATACACACCCAATTCTCCAAAGTAAAGCGATCGCATGCGATCGCGCCGGTGCAGCGGTCTGTGCATGTCTCAAATCGCATCCGCCGTTTCACGCCTTGTGGACGAAAAGGACATGACCAAGGTCTTTGAGCGGGGGGGTTCCAATCCAAATGGGGCCGCTTATTAATCAAGAGCCGCCGGTCTACGTTAATTGTCGTTTTGCAGGTCTTGGCGGTTGCTCAAACCAAACGACACTGGCAAAGTAGAGGTGCAGTGTATGCCTAACTCGTTGCCGAAGGGCGCACGTTTCAACAATCAAACTGGGCACCCGCACTAGCATCATCCTTGCCAAAGCCCTTGCCGAAGCTTGCGCCGCCAACACATCCGGCGCAGCCACAGCAGCCACCGCAGCCTCCACAGCAGCCACCGCAACAGCCACCGCAACAGCCGCCACAGCCACCACAACCGCCACAGCCGCCACAACAGCCGCCACAGCCGCCGCCACAGCCGCCACAGCCGCCGCAGCCGCCGCAGCCGCCACAGCCAGCACAGCCGCCACAGCCAGCACAGCCGCCACAGCCAGCAAAGCTGCCACAGCCGCAGCCATAGCTGCCCTTGCCACTGACAGCACCGCATCCTTTGCCCATACTGCCTTTGCCCTGGCATCGGGAAACCGCGGTTTGCTGTAGCATCCAGAAAACAATAAACTGACATTCGCTGTAGGAAGTTGTGTAGGCTTGTGAAAACGCCGGTGTCAGTGCACTGGGTATCGGTGATCAAGCTACGGGAGGCGAAGGAGAGGGGCTTCGCAAAAAACATGCGAAAACAAAGTACCGTCTCTCCACACAGTCCTAACATCATCCCTATCCCATCTCTCGAAGCATTCAGCACACCAGCGGCGCTGGTTGCAGCGCAGTCCACGAGTCCACCGCCGGGAGATGCCGGTCTGCCGGTGCTTCTCAGGACCCTTCAGTCTTGAGCAAGGCGACACAAGTCCTACGAGCCGTTGCTTCGTGCGCGTGAAGGAGGGGAAAAAAGCGCGCGCACAATCAATGAAACAAGCACAGTCCGAATGGCCCGGCAACCTGCGCCCTCCTGATAAACCACTTGAATCCACTTGAGGCTTGCAACTTGACCTCGGCTCAATCCCTCGGACAGTAGCACCGCACCGGCTTGACTTTGGAAACTGGGGTAGATGGAGTGAGTTGCTCAAACTACACAGGGCCGTCGAGAAACAGCTCGGCTTGCGTGGCAGCTTGGGAGGTCGAACTTCCGACTTCTTGACGAACACACCACATGGGTTTTGGATGGCGCCCTTGAAGGTCGAAATTGTTTGCCACTTCCATGGTTTGGTGAGTCAGAGTGGCTCCATCAAGCCCAATCCCCGGAACACTACCAGGAACCAGGGGCCCTTCGCGCCGGTGGGTCTATGGTTGTACTATTTTAGTCAATCATCGTCCAACTGAAAACCACTGGTGACCAGCAACATCGCGGTTCGGATACCGAAGCTTTGGGAGAAGCTCCGAGGCGGATCAGATCTGGAAGCTGAACCGGATTGGTTTCTTCAAGTAGGGGTCGAAGTAGGTGTTCCAGATTTTCGTACACCATAAAGTTTCTTCTGGGTTTCTACTCTCAGCTTTCATTAAGGGCCTCGTTTACCATCTGGGAGGTGTCTCCAGTGTCTCCTACTTTCTTGCAGGCCACGCTGGTCTTCGAAGACCAGCGAGGCAGTGGTGATAGGGAGCGAACCCTGCACGCCTACTACCATCACATACACGAATGGAGGACAGCTAGAGCTCAAGAGGACCAGCGAATTTGTTGCTCCGCAACAGCACAAATTCGCCAGCGAGCACATGGAAGACGTGAACAAAACACGTGAACAATACTTGCCACTGCCGAAAGCGCTTTCATTTCAGCCACAGGCCACACATCAAATCAACAACTCACTGTGGACTCTTGATTAAGAAAGCCCCCCTATGACGATGTTTCACATTGTTTTACCATCCAAATGGGTGCGCTTTATTCAAGAAGAGTCTACATTACAGGCCGAAAGAACGTCTGCCCTCTCCCGCCTTGGCCAAACCAAGCCCTTTAGGGCCTTGGTTGGTCGAATCTCTCTCTCTCTCCCTCCCTCCCTCTCTCTCTCACCTACCCATATGGTCAGCCCCCTGCGTTCTCTTAATGTATGTCCATTGAAGCTAGCCTTCCAAGACAATTAAAAGGATGGTTGACCTGGTTTTGTAGTGTAAAATCGTTGGTAAAACAAGGGTTGTTTGACAAAGACCATTGAAACAATGGCTGTTGGAATCCCAGGGCTGATGTATAGGCAGAGTTTGGTTAACAGCTTTCACCGTGGCAACAAAAAGGCCTGAAACACAGAGGTCCATGCAAGAGTCATGGTTTTATTGTCGTTCATTGTAACTCATTGTGCTTTGTAACTCATGAACGCCCCTCGTCGACACCCCGGCGCCTTTCCTCGTGGCGCCAGGTCACTGGACCCTCAAAACCCACCGGAAGCCAACACCATACCAACGTTTCTCAAACGGAAGCACGTCATTGAGAAGTAAGAACCCCCAAAAAGCTATTGCTATCTGGGGACTGATCTTGCTAGAAAAATGGTTCTCTTTGTGGCAAGAAAAAGGTTTGGGCTTTCCTGGGGGTCTCATCCCAAGTTCGCCTCTTCTGTGTTAGTTTTTCCAGCGGTGGTAATGCATCCCGGCATGCCATGTCAAATGTCAAACATATATGAGGTATGGTCAACATTGTTTGCGACTGTTGCACCCTCAGGTAGGTGAGCCCCCTATCGTTTTCCAATGTTTTGGAACCGTGTTAAAGGGTGTCCTTTTTGTGTGTCCCCTATCGTTCGTTCGCTAAGGTTTGGAACATGCCTGCATATGAATGCAACGCTCCTATGCAATCGTGATCATCACAAATTTTGAAGGTGCTTCATATACATATACCGCATATACACACACACATCTATATATATATACGCATACACACGCGAATAAAACCACATAAAACTACTACACTGATTCTGGCCCTGATATCACTGCACTAGATCTAATACTGATGGACGGAACCCTGACGGAACCGTCTCCGTCTCCGTTTCCGGCCGAACCCTCGGCCGTCGCCCCGTCGCCTTTCTCAGTTGCTCGGACCTCTCTTGGAGTCCGCACATGCCTTGTGATCAAAGGCCCAGTCCTTAAACCAAGGCCTGAAGCGTCAGGGTAGGGGACGTTTGGACGGCACGAAGACTCTGGGGAGG